GTTCCATCAAAATTTCTTTGGCAAGTTCTAGTAATTACATATACATTGGGGTTAGATATTTATTCTTGAAATGTTCTGAGAATCTCTGAGGGAAAACTGTATCTGTAAACAGATCACCCTGAAGAAAGACAAATGTTTCTATTTTAGTGAGAGGTGTCATGCAAACTTCCTTTGGCTCTGGTGTATGCAATCCTGGAACCTTAAGTTGCTGCTGAGAATGAACCTAGAAACTCAAAGCTGTACTGAGTTAAAACAACAAATTTTCACATGGTTTCCTGTTTAAACATACTGTGATGTGATCCCTGGGGTGCAGCCTTGGACTGTGGTACTGCTGTACTTCCTGAATTCTCTCCAGCCTGGGCTGTCTCTCACAATGCTTTACTAGTGACAAGCAGCTAGCCCTTCTAGGTGCGGTGATCACTCAGCAGAACAGCATGTGGAACCCCACACCCAGCTAGATTGCATGATTGCTCCCAGAGCCAGTCATGAATCGCACAGAGAAAGGCACCAGCACAATCTCCTCCCCAGCACCCAGCACTGTACCCCAGGAATCTGCCATTTTGTACTGCTCAAGAGGGGCATTGCACATTTATTAATTGCTTCACCACTTCAACAATGGAAAGTGGACATATACCAGCCTTTGCAAAACCTGAGCAGATTTGCCAGCCAGCAATGCCCCTCTGCCATGTACATTGGCCAAACCGGACAATCTCTATGCAAAAGAATTAATGGACACACATCTGACATCAGGAATCATAATACTCAAAAACCAGTGGGAGAACACTTTAACCTGTCTGGTCATTCAATAACAGACCTGCAGGTGGCTATTTTACAACAGAAAAACTGCAAAAACAGACTCCAACGAGAGACTGCTGAGCTGGAATTGATATGCAAACTAGATACAATCAATTTAGGATTGAATAAGGACTGGGAATGGCTGAGCCATTACAAACATTGAATCTATCTCCACTTGTAAGTATTCTCACACTTCTTATCAAACTGTCTGTACTGGGCTATCTTGATTATTACTTCAAAAGTTTTTTTTCTCTTATTTAATTGGCCTCTCAGAGTTGGTAAGACAACTCCCACCTGTTCATGCTCTCTATATGTGTGTATATATATCTCCTCAATATATGTTCCATTCTATATGCATCCAAAGAAGTGGGCTGTAGCCCATGAAAGCTTATGCTCTAATAAATTTGTTCGTCTCTAAGGTGCCACAAGTACTTCTGTTCTTTTTGCGGATACAGACTAACACGGCTGCTACTCTGAAACACTTCATACAAACTCACTGGTAAAGATAAACAAACAAATGTATCGAGTATGAGAGGTAGATTTTAAGTGGTATTAAGTGATAGGCAAAAGAAATACAATATATGCATGCAGTCTAAACTCTCAACCCTATTAGACTGGGCACCATCTAGATTAAGCAGTTTTTCTCACCCCGTTAGATATTGCAGTCCTTAATATACAGATTTGTTTCTGAAAGCTCTGCCAATCTCCTCTGTTGGAGTGTTGTGTTAGTTGCTTGCACTGTAGGTGGGAGTAGGAGAAATGCCAGCATATAGCCTTTGTATCTGTTTTATACCCTCAGTCCATGTGCTTGGAAAACACAAGTCCAGGCATGTCTGGGGGGCATTGCTGAGTCTCCAGGCAAGGTTCAGCAATTCCCCTGGTGTGGCCTCATGTGCGTGAGTCATTGCATTGTAGCTCTCTTGCTGGACAACGGTTGTTGATGGATTGATTGATACCCCACTTGGTTACTTTCCTTGCTGTTGCCTCTGGGGAGGTAATACCTGGCTGATTCCCCAACTTACAGCATGTTTTAGTGACAACCATACCACACAATTCTCATAACTTCATATGAGTTAATGATATACATATATGAATAGAGAAATGACTTTCAGCAGATCATAATTATTCCCTTGATACCTTACAAGGCATGCTTTATATGTAAGATCAGAGGTCTATAGAAATGAGGAATATGGGGATTACAGGTTGCTCCCCCAAGGTATAGAATGTCACACACACACAGGGCTGCCCAGAGGATTCAGGGGGCCTGGGGCAAAGCGCGGGAGCTGCAGCGCTTGTACTTACCTGGCGGCGGTCCAGGTCTTCGTCGACATTTCAGCGGCGGGGGGCCCTTCAGTCGCTCCGTGTCTTCAACAGCACTGAAGGACCCACCGCCGAAATGCCGCCGAAGACCTGGACTGCCACTGGGCCAGGTCTCGCAGGGCCCCTGTGGGGCCCGGGACCTGGGGCAAATTGCCCCACTTGCCCCCACCTCTGGGCGGCCCTGCACATACATTTCTCCGGGTTCTGTTGAAATGGTACAGTACTTAGATATTCTCAAAAGATTCACCGACCTTTTAAAAAACCTAACTGCATTTAGAGTTGGTAATGAAGTGTCAAACTAGTAAAGTTGCATGTGTTTTAATGTTACATAACCATGCTTTACCCCGTTCTGGAAATATGTTGTGTGTTTTGCTTAGCTGTGTGCCATTCTATGGAATCTAGTGGCAAGGAAAATGACATAGCCTTCACTTTGAAAGTGGAATTTGTATTATCTCAAGTAGGGCCAGTTTGAGTTAATCTTGCAAAGCTACCACAAACTCCCTGCACTGGGCTATGTGTTAGTGATATGTATAGGAATGTAAGAGGAATAGATAATGATCCTGATCCTCATTTGGTATAAATTGCCATAAATAGCTTCATTAATCTCAGGGGTGCCATATCAGTTTACTCCAATGGAGGGTCTGGCTCATTGTTCTCAGAACTCATTTGTATGTTTCTAGAAAGAATTAGGAAACTAGCAAGTGGATGATGGAGGTTTCAGAAAGCAGAAGGAGAACGCTTTGCTGTGTACCAGCCAGGGAAATGATTAGGGAGAGAAGCAGAGTGATTCTCAGCGCAGAGCTGTCAGACATCACAAAGTAGCTCATACTCCACCTCACACCTCACTGGAGCATGCACAATTAAGATCATATTGACATTTCAGCCATTCCCTATTGGGCTGAAACAACTGTGACCTGGAAGCTTGCTGTAGATTGCAGGTGATACTTTTATGTCTAAGTCAACCCTACTTTTAGTTTGAGTGTCTCTAGGACCCGAGCCTGAAAACACTTGCTTGTATGAGTAACCCTTACTCACACAAGTAATCTCATCTTCAGTGTGGTTACTTGCATGAGTAATGTCTGCTCATTTAAGTACAGATGTGCAGAATTAAGCTTATAGATCAGGGTTTTTTTAAGAACACTAAGCTACAGCTGTATTTATATGAACTATATAAAACATTAACCAATTTTTTTAAATTATTATGATATTCTCTCAGACTATCCTGAAGAATTTTCTCTGTGTACACACATTGAATGTGTTGGCATGCAGCAGGTCAGAGGCTTCGCAAATAGTTAAAAATTACATTATGTTTGGTTCATTGAGTCGAGACAGGTTATCCATGTGAAGTTTATTTTCTAGTTAATATAGTAAGCATGACAAATCAAAAGAGGCTACATGTGGCCTCCATGCCAAGTTATGTCCTGGGAGCTGGGAAATCCTGACCCATCAGCACCTCTCTCCTGCAGCTGGCCAATGGGTGCCAGAGACTCCCAGGGGGAGGAGCTAACTCTTATCCCATGGTGAGTGTCTCCTTCCCTCTAGGACTCCCCCCCCCCCATTCACTTCCAGCCCCATCAAGTTCCCCCACCCATTGATGCATTTGTTGTTATACCCCTGTCTCTTCTTCTGCATGGCTATCAAATGATTTAAATTTGCATAGAAGCAACAGCTACCATGTCAGGACAGTTTTATTTTAACAAGTTTAGTCTTTCACACATTTTTTAAAGGAAGCTTTGACAGTGGTAGCTTTTGTTTTCTTTCTCTATTTAACAATATGTTTCAAAATGCCCTTACAAATCCTTTTGTAATTCTAAATATTAAAGTGGGACTCTGCTCTGGGAAGGGACTCCTGCAGTTCCATTTATGTGTGAAATGCTCCCCACTGACAAATAATAGTGTGTTGGGGAAAGAGGGGGGGTTCCTGGCTGCCAACCTTGTAAACTCAGTCTGGGCTCAGAGGATATAGCTGGGTTATTCTATTTAACGTATCACCAGTGACAAAAGTAATATTGGTCATGCCTTAAGCGATACCTGCACAACCTATTGTCATCAGTGTGCTTGAAGATATTGGAAGTTAGTAAACATTTCTGCTGCTCATGTGTAAAATTAAATAGAATCTTTTGTTCACTCACTTCTAGCTCTATTGGCTCTGCTGGACTAAATAGGAGTCAAAAAGCAGGAAAAATGCATTTCTCTCACTAAGGTCAACTGTTTATAACTGTGAATGGATACAAGGAGCAGATCAAGGCATCTTAAATAAGAGGGAGCCAATTTCAAAGTCACTTTTCAGAATAATGCCAAACTTTATGTGGAAAAACAAAAGATTATTTTTTGTTTGGCTACCAGATAGTGGAATTTGAGACTTCTCTTGTGGAGCATGAATGCATATTCATTAATATTTCAATTAAACAGCTACTTAAACAATTATCATATAAGATAAAACATTGTCTTTTTGGCAATGTACCTTGAGGTCTTTCTATATTACATGAATTGGAGTAATTATTTATTGATATATTATTACATTTTCTTGTAATATGGGGTGTTTTTAATTTCTACATATCCTCAAGCAATCTGTCTGTCTAGCAAATGCTGCCACAATTATATTAGATGTTTTAGAAAACAATGCAGTTCTCAACAACATTTCTCCACAACGCATTATATAATCCATTTTCTTTGGTTGTCTTCACACAAGAGACTTCCAATCTATGGGTTAGAAATCAGAAATTCAATTTAAAATAGTTTATTTTGGCTATAAAGGGGCTTTGCAATAGTAGAAGTTCTGTGTCCCACCTCTGTTGACAACACAGGCTCTGTAGATGTCTACTCTGGACCATTGTTCAGAAATGCTAACATTGGTGTTTCTTTTGTTTTTCTTTGCATCGCAGGAGTCATCAGGACCGCCTTGCATAACATGGACAGGGAAGCCAGAGAGCATTATTCTGTTGTCATTCAAGCCAAAGATATGGCTGGGCAGGTCGGAGGGCTATCGGGGTCAACAACTGTAAATATTACACTCACTGATGTCAACGACAATCCACCAAGGTTTCCTCAGAGTATGTAAAAGTTCAATATGTATTTGATTTGAAAAGCCACATTGATTTTTAGTGATGGAAGTGACATATTAATGAAAATCAATCACTGTTCAAATTGCAGGTGGAGAGGGGACACAAAAAGTGATGTTTTATGGGGTTTTATTTTTCACCTTTTTCATGTGGGATAGTATCTGAGGATGTGATACAGTCCCAGCTCAGAAGCCTCATGTGGGATAGTGTGTGAGGATGTGATACAGTTCCAGCACAAGCCAACCATGATTCCTTTACATATACTACTACTATTAACAATAATAATAGGGAAAGATAAGAACTCGACTGTGGGTTCTGCTCCAATCATTTTGGAATGTAATTACATGATAATATGGTATGGATTTACCAAGTTAATTGTGTTGTTCCCATGACAGGGAGGGAATTATAAATTTAATCTGCATGTACATGCCCCCCCACCCCAAATGCTCTCTCTCTTTCACACACATACAGAAAATTTATAAATCACTTTTGATATTAAAAACAATAATTCAAAGTATGATAGTATTATTGTTGGTGTTGTACAGTAAATCCTGCCTTTTCCTGAAGTAAGTTAAGTGTGGATACTAAATATCAAAAACCAAATGCTCGCACATCGCAAGTTATGCAGAATGTTCATGTAGTAAGAATTTCTTAGTGTAACTCTTCACTTATGGTGTCATGTAGAGTACAGACACGGCACACTTAGCATGGATATAAATGGCAGTGTAGATGATGAGGCACTGCTAAGGTGTGTAGAGTAGGGTGCCCTACTCGCTTGAGCCTCTAATGTATATACCCTACATAGCTTTCTACACACCCAAGCAATGCTTATTTTTATCAGTGTAGTGTCCCACTGCCATCCTCTGCCAGAGCCTTCCCCCACCCCTGCTGCCTCCCACTGCCAGAGCCTTTCACTGCTGCATGTAATATACACCACAGTGAGTGTGGGCACAGCCTGCCCTTCACCTTGGTGTGTAGCTGCATGTAACTGCAAGTGCATACAAGGTCACAATCAAATAACGAATAGGAAATGTATTGACACCCAGCATATATGTTTAGAATTCTGAAACAGGAGTTGTAGTGTAAGACTTCAGAGTATACCAAAGATAAATACCGAAAAAAAAAAAGATTTAAGAGACTTTTCAGACCAAAACTGCATGACTAAATCTACTTTTGATTGCAAATTGGCTCAGGGCCAGTAAAGGTATAGTAATCTTGCCTCAGACATTATTAAGAGCCACTGTAGAACATAATGGCCTAGCAACTATAGGTACACCCAATGGGAAATATGTTAAGCTGTTTAAAGGAAAAGATTTATCAGGAAGAGTTGAGATCACAAAGCTCCAAGGAAAGATAAAATTCTCTGACAATTAATGTTATGTAGTCAGGAAGCTCTTTAAAAGTTTTGTAATAATGAATACTTGTGCTGGGCTTCCCACATGCACAATGAAGAGTCTTTGAAATGTAGTCTGAGATAGTTAATTCAGTTTTATATCCCATAAAATTGGCAAGATAGCTACCACCATCTTTAACACTTTCACATTATCTTCGGAAAGATGAAGGCTACAGCATATATTGGAATAAATGTAATATTTAGATATCTTAATTAAGTAATAAAAAGTCTTAGGTTACCATGATGTGTGAGAATTCAGCGACCAAAGAAGTCAAAAATACACATCAGCTTTAGAAAGTGTGGAGAGTTGCTTCCTTTTATTGCAGGATAGGGGGAGTCAGGGTGGGAGATATGCTTAGATATTAAACTGACACACAAATGCACACCAACACGTGTGTGTGTGTGTGTGTATATATATATCGCAGTTGCCAACTTTCACACAGTAAATAAGCACCCTGACTTTTACAATAAGCCAAAAATCAAGCAAATCCCATTTCAAAACAAGGCCAAAACAAGCCAATCTTTAAGAATCCCAATACGCTACAAGCCAAAAACTAGCCAACAAGCAACTCATGAGCCAATTAAGCCAAAAACAAGCCCCATTTCTATGTTTTGTCTGCAGGTTTGGCATGTCTGGTGTGTATGTGTGTTTGTTTATGTACATTTATATATATTTCAATTTGTTTGTAAGTGGGTAAATAATATTTATAGGGTTAGCTATATTTCTATATATTTTAATTTATTTTACTGCTTCAAACAAACTTTTAAAAAAATACAAAACAAAATTCTCAGTTCTGAAACTTTGGACACCTATTAATTAACTGGACAAGGCTGAGTAACAGATGCTTTCCTGAGCTCAAAGTCTTTTCTTTTCAGAATATATTACTCCTGAAATATATAATACGGAGGACAACCACAATCCAACTTGCTCTTAAATACTAAAGGCATGACTACAACTTACACTTCAACAAATTTGATTGAAACTTCCCAAACTCCTTGCAAATCCAGTCTTAAACTGTAGTAATATATCTCTAGCACATGGTAAATATGTAGATGGTCTAACACTGGGCAATCTTTGTAACATGAAATATAACCACTAAATTCATAAAACTAATTTCAGTTTTGATTTTCTTCTCTGGTCCGTGTCCTTCATGCTCCTGACTTCTATCTCCTTACATTACATGGCATTTCAGACTATATTAGCAGATGATATTGCTCCTTTTGGGAGACATCTAGTGAGTCTTGCTGTGGATTGCACTCACTGTGGATATCACAGAAAGTGGAAGTTGCCCCCCAGATAGGTTTTGGGGATGAGTAACTCCAATGTATGAACTCTAATGGCAGCCAAGTTTGCAGAGAACACACAGGCTGAACTAGTGGTTAAAAAAATGGGTAAAGTAACCTAAACTAAACTCCATAGTCCCAGATGAGAAGAAGGTATACTCCATTTACTCTTGTTTACCTTTGACTGTACTACTGGGCTGAACTTCATGTTCCCTTATTGTTAATTTCTTTATTGACCAACACCCTGGTGAGTTTTGTGTCTACACAGTGTGTGGACTGTATACTAGAGCATGTTGTAAAGGATACCTTGATCACAGCTTTCCTGAGTTATGTTTCATTTATATGTATACTTTGTTGTTAGTATTATTTATTTAAAGTTAAGGCCAGATCTTTCAGGCCTTTCTCAGGTAAATCTCTTATTGAAGAAAATTGAGTTTTGACTAAGGATAGTAGAATTTGCCCTATACTATATAAAACATGAAACTCCAATCACAAAAAGTAAGTCACATGAGATCAACATGTCCATTTAATTCAGCTACTGTAATGCCTCTAGGATGTAATGAACTGTGTTTGAACATTGTACTAAGCAAAAATTGTTAGAATAGCTCCCGAAAAGGAATATGATTTTCTGCACTACTACAACAGTCTAATCAGGAGAGGGGAAATATAATATACAAATTCATACATTTTCATAATGTGATTGAACCTCTTACATACAATTTTAAACATAGTAAAAACAATACCTGATATAAGAAATGTATATGAAAAATTCCGTTTGCAAAACAAAAGTATTCATCAGGTTCAGGCCTGTGAATATGACATCAACAAGAGTATGACCTGAGTGTAATGAATTCCTCTCTAGAATACACTGCCCCTACCAAGTATCCTCAATGGTACCCTGTCCTACAGTAATACATCTTTTTCATCCATGTTATTATCTTCACAACTTTTCCCTCTCATTGATTGTCTACATGCAAATGAACTACCAATATAGCACAAGATGGAAGACACCATTTCACTTGAAGGAGCTTTTGATTTTCAGCAAACTATATTTCCCAGTTCATGTTGGTCAGTCTTATCAATGACTACCTTAGTTGAGTAATGCCCCAGCTTTGGGCCCTAATTCTGACATAAAATGTTCCTTGAACTACTCTGTGGTCTTAGCAAAATGATATAGGCAATTTCATCTTCTTTTCAATTTTTATAGCCATCTTCTGTAGACTTTATCCTTAGTAATGTTCTGTGGTCTTAGCCTTAGTGCAATATGGATATCTTTTATGTATTTTGCTCTTTAGTTTGATCCTGTTTCTTGCTTCAGGATCATCAGCTCATATGGTGGTTTCAACTGACACGTCTGAGTGTTTTAAGTGCTAATATTGACAAAAGGAACCAGTTATGGACAGACAAATGCATTTCTTCTGGTAGCCTTACTACGCTATAGATTCCATAGGCCATTCTCCAGTAATCCTCTTGTATTTAGGGACTCATCCTGCAAGGAGATGAGCACCTCCTGAGAACTGCTGAGTGCCCTGATCTTCCTTTGGCCCCGCAAACAAGGGGGAGACTATTTCCTGGTCCACTGCCTCCCAAAACTTCAGCTGGCACTTCCCTTATTGGCTTGGATAAGTAACATTTTGTACAGCAGATTAAATTTTAGACCTTATATTTTGACAAATCCATTAACTTCTATAGCATAAACCAAAATGTTAAGGACAAAAAATGACTGTAATAACTTTCTTATAAATTCCAGTTATTTCAAAGGATTGCATGGAATTCTTTAATAGTCTATAATGTGTAAAATGTAGAAGGGTCCAAGTGATGTAGGAATCTGGAAAAAATGCTTTTATAGATAGCATTCAGTTTTAAGTTACACCTCTACCCCGATATAATGTGACCTGATATAACGCGGTAAAGCAGTGCTCTGGGGGGGCGGGGCTGCACACTCCGGCGTATCAAAGCAAGTTCAATATAAGGTGATTTCACCTATAATGCGGTAAGATTTTTTGGCTCCTGAGGACAGCGTTATATCGGGGTAGAGGTGTACATATATATTTTGGTCCGCATGCCTTTCTTTTGAGAGACACTGTAAGAAAGAAGTCTGATCTGTGTTTCTTGTAAGACTTGATGGAACAGGTTATTGATATTAAATAAATAAACAGGATTGAACTGGCTAGTGGCTTTCACTGTGCTTGATCCTACAAGGTGCTGATTGCCCACAACTCCCATTGACTTCTTATTGTGAACTCCATAAATGTAGCCACATCCGGATGCCGGTATTCTAACCTCAGAACAATAGTCTCTCAGTGACTAGTGT